CTTTGACCCCCCCCCCAAGAGTCGATGTACAACTTTAAAAATACTTATATTGTAAACATTTATCTCTTCTCTATAAAAATATTTCAATCATCATCAAAAGCTGTGTCTGGCTCAATGTCCATGATATATGGATAATCCCATCAGATCTAGATGGGGCTCCTAATGATCTGACAATATATACAATCAGTATAGTTGCTAGCTGTTCCCCACTATCACCACCCCATATGGATATACAATAGTAGAGCAAGATAACAGTAATTAAATATTGGTTTTTGGAGAAGTGAAGAATGGGAGGCCCACAGGCATCATTGGTCCATAGCATGTACTATGGCACATGAATCAGGAGTCCCCTAAAGCTGTGTCATAAATGTGTTTATTATCTCCTACTCTGCTTTGTTTGTTCACTACTCTCTAGAGCCACCACTGAAGATGAAGTTGGAATGGAATTTTTCTAGTCCTTTCTGTGTCAGTACTGTGCCCAAATTTGTTTTCTAAGAACTTTCTTTAAATCTGAATTTTGTTGCCACCAAAATTTTGTTGTTCACATCTCCCTCTTGATTGTAATAGTTGTTCCCTTGACATCATCTTAAACAACATGTTTTGGGTGGGAAGGCAACACAGCACTTAATCTGATCCTGGCTACAGGTCTGGCTTTGTTGTGGCTGAGAAATCTTAAAGGGAGGCCTCTGATAAAGGCTCAGAAAAAAGTGTCATCTCCTGTTATTTAGGATCTGGTTCACTGTTTTTAGTTTTGCTAGTGTCCAGATTTCTGGACTCCTGATTAGATTTCTGGATGCAAGTAAACAATGTCTATTTCCTTTTCCTCTCTGCTTACAAGGTTATTAATTCTTACTAGATCATCTCTAGATAGCACTAGAACCATCAAGCTGCTGTCAACATAAATTGGTAATTCTTGTGCTTTCCAGCTACCTCATCTATTGACATTTGGTTTCTACATACAAAGGAAAAACTGTACAGTAGGGGGAAATAGCACTTTCTGTCATGAAGATATTTCTGCTTTATGCATTCATATAATATCTAAATTTTATATTACATTCTTTGTTATAATAATAATAATAATAATAATAATTATTATTATTATTATTATTATTATTATTTTGGTACCAGAGATTGAACTCAGGAGGGCACTCGACCACTGAGTCACATCCACAGGCCTAGTTTGTATTTTATTTAGAGACAGGGTCTCACTGAGTTGCTTTTTCTGAGACTGGTTTTGAATTTGCGATCCTCCTTCCTCAGCGTCTCTGTCCACTGGGATTACAAGCGTGCGCTACCATGCCTTGCTGTCTTCCATTTTTAATTGGAAAAATATTTGATAAAAATTGAGGTCCATAACTTGAAATGTCTTAGAAAAGGAAATATAAGTAACTTATATATCTGAAAAAGTACTAGCTCACTGTCACTTTCTCCAACACTGCTTGGTCATATATTTGATGATATTGATGTCCATGAAAATGATTCTTTAAAGCTCTAGATTCATGTTTCTCTAAATTCCCTCCTTTCAGTGTTATTGCCCACTGAATCTATTGCCCATTGAACTGTTATTGCCCATTGAACTGTTCAGAAGCTATTTAATCTTTTATTTTTTTCCAATTAGTACAAATATCCCCACATCTAAATGCAGAAATATACATATATTTTTAAGACCAAGTTGCTCCTTAGATACTTGTATTGTTTTTGATCAGCGAGACATATAGCTTTCCTAATATTTGGAAAAAAAATTGTTGTGCAGTCTGATGTTTTTAGGAATTATTGACAAGGATTAGAAACCCATGGGAACTAGTGAGAGTGGAAAGGGGAGTGGGTAAATAGAGAGAAATATGACTTTAATGAATTAATAAACTCTGACTGTCATATGGCGATGGGAAATGAGGGGTAATATAGCCTGAAAGGATATTTTCCTTTTTTTTTTTTTTAATTCAGTATACAGGTTACTGGTTAGTATTAAAAACATGTTCCACAGGGAAGGGTATATTTAGACCTAAAAGGAGAGCTTTAAAGATATAATCAATTCTATTTTGCAGATTAAGTGTGGGCTCTTTATAATATATGCTAATGAAGATTATTATCCAATTCAATATTCTATCACAGTCCTCCCTTCATGTTTGCCATCCGTGGAGCTTAAATAGATTTTTTTAAGTGAATGAATACTGATTTTACTGTTTGTCTAACAAGGAATTTTGCAATAATTATATATTAACTCAAACCTAGGACAGTGGTTTTCATTCTATCTGATCCAATGTTCCCTTTTTACAGTAAATATTTTGTAACATTTCCTTTACAGTTTTGCAATGAAACTCAGTAAATATAACTATCTGAACACACAAATTTAAAACAATGTAACATTCTGTTTATAACATGAGGGAGAATCAGAGGGAATTGATTAATAACAGAGAAGCATGTTTTTCAATATGTAAATGTTCAAGTATAAGTACCCAAGAGAACACAGTGAAAAGACAGAATTTTGTACCATTAAATTGTATCAAGTACCAATGCTGACACTGGTAATATATAGTAATCAAATATGTTAAATTTATTATTGACATACATACAATGCTAAACAGCATAAAAATTCCTTTATTTACATCATGGTTATGTTCCTAGATAATTCAGTATGTTACTCTAAATCAGTACAAACCATATATTTGTTTGTGGACAAAATTGCTGCCATTAATGATAATGTATGTACTTTTATTTTTAACAGTGGATGCATATCATAAAAATTTTACACAACTATAGAGAAAAGATGTAGGCAAATACAAAAATGGCTACCTGATAGTTATTAGGTTTTTTCCTTCCTTCCAGTTTCTACTGATTATATGAATAAAATATAGAGTTTTTGAAAACTATCTACAACACATCATGATTTTCCCACAGCAATCCCTTTCCCCACTCAGATGCACACATTCATTGAAGTAAAGTGAAAGGAAAGGACCGAATATATTTCTTTGTAACTATGGAAGGAAGAAATTAAGGTAGAATATTTTCAAAGTATCCCACAAACACCATATTTTTTCATCTTCTTTTGCTGGAAAAGATACAGTTTGTGCATTATTGTATGGGAAAGTTAATAATTTTCTGTGGCATTGCGTGTATGGTACTCATACCTTCCAAATGTTCTGTTACAGTTTGATTTTTAAAAATTCTGTTTTGTAGTGAGGCATGGTAGTGCAGGGCTATAATCCTAACAACACAGTAGGCCAGTTCAAAGCCATTAGCAGCAACTTAGTGAGGCCCTAAGCAACTTAAGACCTTGTCTCAAAGGAAAAAATGAAAAGGGCTGGGAATGTGGCTTAGTGATTAAGCAGCCCTGGGTACAATACTTGGTACCAAAAACAAAACAAAATAAAAACAAAAACAAAAACAAAAAAACCAAATTTGTGTCATAACAAATGTACATATTTTTCTCAGTTTGTATATTATATATTCCCATTTTGGTTTGAAATCTATGGGTCCCCTATGGATTGCTATCATATGGATCCACTCTAATAACATTCTGCATTTTGCAGTATTATGACTTTTTTTAACATATTGGCTATACTTACTCAAAAATTATTTTTAGAAATATTGAAATGATAGTTTAAATGCACTATTCTTTTGCAACTATTGGGTATCCTTCTCCACAACTCAAAATTGTATTTTGAATCTTCTAGGCTTTCCTGTATTAAGTACTTATATAGTATTAAAAATTTTCCTTGAAGATCATTATAAAGATAAGGATAGAAAGAGTGAGAGATGTTGAGATTATTACGAGATCCTTGATAGTATAGAGTGTAAATCCTGAGATATAATTATAGTATATAATTTCTTCCATGAAATATAATAGACAAAAATATTTAAAGTAAATCAGTTAAAGTTTTATAAAAATATGAACTGGCCTATTTCAAATGCTAAATTATAAAAGAAGTAAAACTAAGTATACTATTTACATAGTCATTGCATTTGCTAAACTATTTTCCATTAACTTGTTTTGTTTCTACCTGAATTGTGTGGTTCTTGTGTTCATTTTATAGATCTGGCCAACAACTTCAGTATTCTATTCCTTAATAGCTAAAACTATTATCTGCTGCTTAAGGATATGCCTTTTCTTAGAATCTCAACAGTGACTCTTTTTTAAAATACCAGGTATAATTGCTCACTTGGGAGGGGAGGATTTCTTTTTTGGTTTTGTTTTTCAAAATAAGAAATACTGTGGAAAATCAAATATCTGGCATCTTGAAGCCTCATTACATTATAATAAAATACACTTGGGCTGAGTGGCCTCATCCCCTATAGATTTAGCCTGCCCCCTCCCATGTGCCACCATCTCCAGCATTATCCGTTGTTGTATGTCACATTGCATTTTAGCTACCAGTTATTATCTTTCCTGGCTTGAACTTATCATCTTTTGAGGTCTTGAGATTAAAGCATACCTTCAATTTAATTTAGCATTAATTTTTATTGATTGATACTGCAGTTGCTTATATAGTATAAAATCTATTATTTCTGTGCTAGGCAAATTATCTATCACATCTTTTAAAAACTACTAAAACCAATGCTGTGTGGTTATGAATTTGGTAAATCAATATGTTTTTAAATCAATACTGTTGTATTGTGTGCTATAAAGTCAATAGAACTAACTAGACTTTACAAATTATGTGATACATTTATCAGACTGTACCTCAAACAGCTTCAACTCACCTCCTTGGTATATATAAGGCTTAAGAAGATTAAGTCCTGTACCAAAAGTTGCCAGTTTTAATTAAGAATTATGGTTAGACTCTCAAGGCCTCCTCCCTCCCACTCACATAACCCACTCTCTACAACTCTCTCTTAGGAAACATTTCTGGGGAAACAAAATTGCACATGTAAAAGCATCTCTGAAACAATTATGTTCATATTGAGACTTTTTGGCATTTTATTTATTGTTTTATTTTTCATTTTAAAATAGTACTCTCCCAAGGTAAATTATTCTAATTTACCTATTTTATTTCAAACAGATCATGTTGTTTGTGAAGAAGAATTTAAATACGCCATGTTAGCTTTAAACTGTATTTGCCCAGCAACATCTACACTTATTACACTACTGGTTCATACCTCTAGAGGGCAGTAAGTATATTTTTTTCTTTAAGATAACGTATTTAAAATAATATAAGTGCAGTTGTGTGTTTTACAACTTTAAAAATCCAACATATATAGTGAGATATGTACCTATATTTGTGTTTGTGGGAATTATTTTCACCTAATAGAAATATGTTCAGGGATTCAAAATTCACAGAAAGTTGAAAGTCATTAGATTTTTTTTTTTTTTTTTTTTTTTTTTTTTTAGTACTCTTTAGATAACTTGTTGCATCTTAAATTCTAAGTCTCTAAATGATTTGTTAGGTCTAGAGTAAGGGCATGGCTCTATTTCAGGAGTAAGAGTTATACAAGTAAAATTTTTAAAAAGGGATTGTAACAATCACTAATATAAGAACAAAGTCAATTTTTTCTCCCTCGGATGTTTTTATGTTAAAGTTTTAATTATTATTTTTTATAGTTTTATAAAATTATTATTTTTTACAGCTTTATAAAATTACTTAATGTAAAATAAGTTGTTTTTTATGCAATTTCTAAGTAGCCCATAGAAATTTAGATCATCTGAACTTTAAAATTTTTACTTATTTACTTTGCTATTTTTATAAAATACAGTTTGACTTGGATGACCAAGGAATCACAGTCACTGTTCTTATTTTAAGAGACAAATGTTACATTGCATTTCACACATTTTCATATTCCTAACAGTATTTTACACAAAATAATGATTTTTTTTCTTATAAATTCTAATTTGTATTTATGGTCATTACTCATTAAATTTGGTAAGTTAATTGATAGTTATTTAAATGATGTGCCAAGACAAGTAAATCTAGAACAAGGAAAACTCTTTCTTGATATTAAACAGTAGATGGAGCAAGTTACTAATATGAAAATAATAAATACCCAGACCTTTTTTTAAAATGGATTTTTCTATCTTTCCTCTAATTGTATTTCTGTTCTGTTGGGAAGGAATGATTTTCCCAGGAGCAGTTTCTCAAATTCTGAATAGGAACATTTCCATTCTCTATATTTGCAAGACTTTCATCTGTGCAACGAAAGCTTGTGACAGGATTGTGGATGACATTGCTGCTTCTCTGCAAAAAGTTCACAGCATCTTGATGCAATTTTAAATAAATTCCTAAAAAGCATTTTGACACCAATTAATTGAACAATAGTAGCCCTATCACATGTATTTCTTATTTTTCCCATACCATCTTTATTACAGAAAAATATAACACTGAATATCTAGTTCAACTTCAATGTCATACATTCATATAAGACAAGGCGCACTGATAATATTTCATACACTCATTACTCATAGACTAAAGTTAAATTACACTTTGCAACTACTAATAAATGATATTTATTGACACAATTTTGGCTGTGAAAAAGATTGTAGTTGACATAAGTTGAAATAGAATTTTGGATCCTTAGAATAAAATTTACCCCAATATACTCAAATGAAATTTGCCTTATTAAAAAAGTGATGTCAAAGATGTTGTTATCACATAATTAAGAACTTCTTTTAGATAAGATTAACCTGAAAATATATTTCAAATCTGTGCCACAGTAAATACTATGGCACACTATACTTTCTTTTTAGCATCTTTATTTAAATTTATTTCCATACTATAATTCCCACAATAAATATGCATCTCAATATTTTTAGTCTATTCATGGAATTTTTCAAGCATCATCACTATTTCCAGAATCCCACAAATAAACCTAACCTTTAGCCATTCCCCTTCATCCCCCCAATCCTTTCAATCCTAGGCAATTCCTAATCCTCTGTTTCTTATAAATTTGCCTTTTCTGAACACTGCACATAGATGAAATCATATAATATGTGTTAATTATATTTTGTTTAGTTGGGCTTCTTTCACTTGGCATATTTTAAAAGTTCGTCTGTATTATACATCCATAGTTCATTACATTTTATAATTTATTATTATTATACTGCAAAGATTTGAGTTTTTATTCATCGGTTGAAGAATATCAGTTGAGTTGCTGTTAAAATTTGTGAAACTTTTTTTGTTTGGACATATGCTTTCATTTCTCTTAGGTATGTATGCCTAAGAGTGGAATTACTGTCTGTGGTCATTCTCTTTATACTCTTTTAGGAACTGGTAGAATGCTTTCTAAATATGCAATTTATTAGGGTTCCAATATTCTTGCCAAAATTTATCATGGTTCCAATTTCCTCATCATCCTCAGCAGTACTTACTACCTTCTTTTTGATCATGAGCATCCTAGTGGGTGTGAAATTGTATCTTGCTGCGGTCCTCATTTGCATTGTCTGTTGGCTAATAGTAATGAACATTGATTTATGTTTATTGGCCACATAATCAAGATATAATGATATACCTTCATATCCTTTGCCCATTTTCATTTTCTAAAATTTTTTGGTTATAGAGTAGTAAGAATTCCTCATACATTCTAGATACAACTACATTCTCAGATCTATACCATCACTTGAATATAAGTAATCATCAAAACAKATAAGTWWTSATSAWWACTTATMTGTWCAACTWSATKMTYASWTMTATWCMAKYRMTKGWATAKAWSTRAKMATSWARTTGTACAKATAAGTWWTSATSAWWACTTATMTGTTTTGATGATTACTTATATTCAAGTGATGGTATAGATCTGAGAATGTAGTTGTATCTAGAATGTATGAGGAATTCTTACTACTCTATAACCAAAAAATTTTAGAAAATGAAAATGGGCAAAGGATATGAAGGTATATCATTATATCTTGATTATGTGGCCAATAAACATAAATCAATGTTCCGGTTTTAAGATAATCGTGTTTAGGGCGTTCCCAGTTTAGGTTCCAGGTTTAAGGTTTAAGATTATTCCTGCTGGGAATAGGGCGTATCCTGCTGTCTGAGTTCCCCTTGAGTTCTCATGGGATTCAGACAGTATATTTTGGAGATAGAAGCCCAGTGGAGGTGAATTTGGGCAGAGAACGTGGATTTGGGCAGAGAACGTGGATTTCCCCAGAACGTGATTGTAGACGGCTGGTGTGAGTTCGGGAATAAAGAGTTGCTGTTTGAATCTAAAAAAAAAAAAAAAAACAGATCATTTAACATTTCTGTTTTATTAAGAATATTGTTTGACTGGAGTTATTTTACCAACCCTTTTGTTATCTGTTAATTGAGTATACAAGATTCTCTTATTAACAGAACATGTTTACAATTTAGCCTTTCAGCATCTGTAGAAATTAAAAGCTCAAATATATTGATTTAATAATTAGAGAACTAACATGGAAGCTAAGTGAAGCAGTACAATGGGAAAAATGTTGAATGGTCTAGGAATAGCCGTAGGCAAGTTTTGAAACCACTAATTGAAAACAAATCTATACAAAAATATTCAAATTTTTCTATTTAAAAAATTTAGAATGATTTTACCACTTTACTCTCTAACAAATTGTGTTTTGTATCAATAATAATTGATATTCACAAGCAATTGGAGTTGCTTGGTTGATACAAAGGGAAAAAAAGACAATTTATGACTTTAAATTCAACAAGTACAGAAATAAATATAATCTAAAACCTAAAGTGTTCTCATTTTAAAATACACTTTTAAAGTAAATTTCTGTGTAGGGTATAGGTATTTAAAGAAAATAAACATGATTTATGAAACATAATAGACAAACACATCTGGTCTGGGAGATTAAATGATCAGCCCTTCTAATGGCAGACCTGCCTTAGGTCATTGTAATTAATAATGGAGGTACTGATTCTGCTCCAAAATCAGACAGTTTTACATTCTCAATTATTTTCATCCTTTCTTATTTCTTCATGTCTTTTAGCAGGTGGAAATGGGAATTCCTATAGAACATACATATTAATGATGAATTGCCTGCTTCTGTGCTAAAAATTTCTATCTTATATTTTGAAGTCTTTGAGCAACAGTACTCAGATATAGTGTCCAAACTTGACTAGTATTCTTAAGCTCTTACATTTTACTTTCCTACATGTTTACATGTTCATTCCAATTCCAGTTGATGTACAAGTAATAGAGTAGCTTTCATCTGACTTCAAATTACTGTTTTGTTTTTTTTTAATTCACTGAGTGTTAATTCTGTATTTTAAAGCTTCACATTTACCTCTTCCTTTCTTAGATTGGTTTGAGTGTTGATTGCTCTTGATGCTTATGTATCTTATTGTTAATTCAATTTACAATTTGATTTACTTGGTAATTATTTTTAAAAGGTAAGCATAAGTTTACTTTTTAGACACAATTACTATAGGCTGTGAGACATGGGACAACAAAATGGCAACTCTGAGTCAGGCTATTTTCCTACCATTTAGGAAGAAGGAAAAATGATAAGGGGGCAAACTAGGGCTAACTAAGGTTATTTAAAGCTTTCCGTAAAGTTCACTCAGGCCATTTATCTATCTAATGGTATCTCATTGGCCACAACCATGTCAGGTGTTAAGGTCCATTTAAACAATTCTCATACATCAGATATTTTACAGTTTAATCTTCTTTAGTAGAAAAAGACAGGGGGAGAAGTGATTTATGAAACATTTTTGAGTAGTCAATACAATTTTTGTGATTCTGACAGAGAAATGATTATCATTAAAATTAAATATGTATGATAAAAAAGATGTTTTCCAATTCTGCATCAAAGAGCCTTATATTTTTGCATTAAAGAAACAGCAATATTTGAGTATTAAAATATGGACTTGATTTTAATTACATCTGTTAGCAATGTAAATAGTTTCAAATTTTAAAATGTATTTATGCACATAAAACATGCATACATTTATTTAAACTTGGATATTTTCTCTTCTTAAATCATGAGGCTATGTCTCATAGGAATGAAAAGGTAAATCTAGGGATCTTAAGAAGAGGTATATTGTTTTATACAAGTAACAGAGTAGCTGTTATCTCTTAATTGAATATACAAGATTCTGTATTAGCCTAAATTTAACAAGTCAAATACTATTATCATTGCTAGTCAAATCTGGTGACACAAATTGGCACTATTAAAATTTTAAAAATTAATTATATTTGTATTATAG